TTATTGGAGAGTGATAGAGAATGAAATACATAAGAGCAACAAAGTTTCTCATGTACTTGCGTCATAAATTATTTGTGAAAACAGAAGACGGTCCATCAAGCAAGAACACAGAGCACGATTTAAAGATATATGAGACAAACACTCCAGCTAATTTCCCTAGTTAGCACCATACTGCTTTGTTTTGGGATAATACAGAGCAAACCTTTGGACTGCCAGGTAAGGGTTTGATACTTAGTTTGAAATTCATTCTACACTGGTCCAACAAGTGTTTAACTTTGCTCGTCAATTGCTGTTTAAGTTCAAGTGTGCATTTTTTAGACACTTTGTGGTGTCTAACTAGTTTATACTTCAATTGGTGTTTAAACTTTCGACACTTCCGAAAAGTCTCGCAGCTGCACACCACATGCTTCCTATTGATAGCATGGAACTGTATGTGCCGAAGTGTGCAAAATTTAAACGTTTACAAAACGTCTAAAATTTGCACACTACCTAAGTGTGCAACTTGAATTAAACACCATGTGATGTGCAAAATCATAAATTGCACTCATTGGTGTGCAAATTTTGCACACTTGTTTCACCAGTGTAGTTTCTACAAAATTTTAAATCAATGAAAAATAATACTTGTAGAATATTCTGCAACATATTTATTAAACATAGGAAAACAACCAAATTAAACACAAATTGAACTTACTTAGATTCATTGACCATTCCCCAACCCATTTCTGCCCAGCCTCTTCTCCTTCTGATCCAGCTTGGAATGGACCTATCTAGGTGAAGATGAACCAGTGGGTACTTCAACTTTTTCTTCTCTTTTTGGAATGGGTTTGTGGTTTTTAATCTGTCCACAATAAACTCCTTGTTTATTTCACATGGGTCACGATATCTGTCTAAATACCTAAAACATAAATGGTTGGACATTAATGGGATAGATAATAATAAAGATGAAGGCAATCAAGGCAAAAATGAAAGCACTTACACATCAAATGATTGAGAGTTAGATGGATACCATATTTGTTCCTTCACATAGTGTTCAGGAAAATCATATTCAAATTTGGGTTCTTTCATGCCTAAAATTTCATGGAAAGTTTTCTTAACTGAATAGTCATAATCTGTTTGGCAAAATGCAAGTCCAGCAGGTGTAAGCAGGTCCTGTCTTGGTTTATAGAATTCTAAAGTACTAAACGTACGAAGAGTCAAATCAGTGCTGAAAAAAAAAGATGGAAAGCTGAGTTGGTGGACGGTAACAGAACAAATGTTTTTCAGATGCTTCAAATTAGTTGGAATAAATTAATTATTTCAACTCTTACTTTCACTGAACATGCATAAGCATCGCATACAGGGACAGTGACAGTGAAATGCCAAAACAATAGAAAAAACAACGTACCATGGGCCTGCTTTTTTAAGGCTTGAGTAGTCAATTTTTCCTTCTTGTTTGTAAAGAATGAAAACAAGACGATGATAGCCTGTGCCTGAAGGTGGGAAAGGACGTAAATATTCATATACCACTTCCCCTTTGGAGACATCATTCCCAGGTATGTTGCCCCTACAAAAAAATAGATTGTTTGAATTCGTAATAATTAATTTCAGATTAGTTTATTTAACTGAAAGCTAGTAGTAAATGGGAATTCTACTTACATGAACCAATGAACATATTCAGCATTTTCTTCAGTTAAATGACCATCAGGATTAGTCAATATTAAAGTCCACAGACTGTCTTTATCTGATTCAAAATTAACTTCTGGTGCCTTTGTAGCCTGAAAAGCATGACAATTAAAAACGTATTACCCTAAGAGATTTTGTAATGAGAAGAGTTTTAACATGACATAAGAGATACTGATATGTGAAATGGTTATTTCAAATTTTGATACAGTTTTTCCATACCTCTATAGGTTTGACAAAGTTTCCACGATACACAGGCACAATTGATTCATCTTTTTGTACAAATCCGACATCCAGCATTACTCTTGGAAAAAAGTAAGCATAACCAAATAGATGTTCGAAGATACCGTAATGATCAGCAATTGTCTTAAGGTGCTGACTTGCTGAACCTGACTCTTTCCAGCCTTGTTCTATAGTTTCTAAAGGAACATTCACTGTAACAATAGAAGAATGAAAAATTATACTATGACATAGATGAAATGTTTAAATAATCAAGAAAAAAGTTACAGGTCTTAGAATAGAAACATAATGGGACTGAAAGGGGAAGAACACAGGATGCAGTAAAAAGAACCTCACACTTTTGTTCTCTTGCCAAACGTTCCATTTCAGGGTCATTTTTCACTTTAGCTAAAACTTTTGATCTTTCCGAGGCGAGTGTTCTATCACTGACACGTCCTGAAGGAAGACCGATATCCACCCTTCGAACAACCTCTTCATCTGGACGATTATACTCTGGAATATAGAGAAAAGATAGATTAACATAAATACTGAAGAGTAATGAGAAGTATCAAGAAGTACATTAAAAACAAAAAGTGATTGGCTAAGTATAATTATTGTCTTGAGAGATCTATAAGCAACAGAGAAAACTTGACGAATAATAACATAAATGTTCAATAAATTTGACGGTAAATAGGATATTGTGAGCATTGATAGATGTATTTTAAAATGGAAAAGAAAGCTAAATTAGGAGGCTAACCTTCAATTTTCTGCTTTAGTGATCGTGCTTTTTCAGGTGGAGCACCTAACATGCGAATAAGTGAACGACTTGGTTGTAGAGTAGAAAACCCTAAAGCTTTCTGTGTAACAGAAAGCAGTCGTGAACTCATTTTATATCCTAGGAAATTCGCAGAACTGATTTGTTTCTCTTCAGTTGTGTCTGCTGCATTTAGCAGCACTCCCCCATCATGGAGGCAGCCATATTTTTTTATTCTTCATCTGTTTTCAGGTGCAGCACAACACCAGTAAGTTCTCCTGATGTATCATGTATATACATCAAAATGTTATGTGGTAAGCGGTTATTTTTAAAACGAATCAAAATCCTAATTTTTTATAAAATTTAGATGGAATTTTTATTTTATTGTACAGTAAACTTCATCAAAACATACAATGTTTTTGAAATTTTTGTCTTTTGCAGTTGGTTACTTGTGTGGCTGGTTGAGTGAGCGACTACGCATGTACAGAGAGTCTTCACAGATCCTGCATATCTACACCCCCACCAACTTGCCGTCTTTGGACAAAGACATTTGTTCACAACTTACATCCACAGTTCTTGCGAACGTCATCTATGAACTAAGTCGCAGTGTCGCTGCTGTGCGTCTCTCTGCACTCTGGTTAGTGCTCACCCAGGTTAGAGGGATTAGAGAATTGGAGGGGGGTGGGGGGGTGGCCTGGAGCCCGGAGCTCGGCCGGCTGTGTAGCCGCTTGTCCGCTGCGCAAGAAAACAACGGTCCGCCGTGCCGTCGGCTGCTTCAGTCTCTCAGTCTTGTTTTGGTCGGCCGCCCGGCCCGTCGCGTCTGATCCGCGTGTAGCGTTGTGCCCCGCGCCTCGCTGTGCCGCATTCCGTTGAGAGTCGCCGGTTTTCTATCCCCACGCGAAACACACTTTATTTCGCAATGGTACGTGTGCTTCTTTTTAATACAGGTCTTGGCATTTTCTCTTTGATGTGATTACAGTCAAGTGTTGGGGCGACTGTCTAGCTGGCCATAGATTACTTTTGCTGAAATGACTATTATTGTTAACTCACACGTTGGCCCTCTTTTCTGGTTCTGATTGCAGTTTGTTGAGTGAGCGATGCCCCAAGTAATTGTTCCGGATACTGGAAGAATGCCCCGTGGCAGTGCATATCATCGCAACTGCTTGGATGAATATCGCCCTCCAATGTCAACAAGGTGTAGTGCTTCGAACACCAACGACATGAAGCAAAGTAAAAGTGATGACTTCGCAATGCAGAATCCAGCTGTGTCAACAAGTTCAACCAGTGCAAAATCTAAAAGTGATAACAATTCAGTTGTTGTGAATGGTGAAATAAGTCACAGTGCAAGTGATTCCGGGTTTAGTGCAAGTCTAGCCTTGTCAGCCCCCGTGCCAGTGCTTCTTCCAAAATCAGAGTGCTTCAGTGAGTGTGAATCAGAAAACGATGTGCGCTTTCAAATGTTGGATACCTCCCGTCTTCGTGGCAAAGATCTTCAAAGAAAATCAAGCCATCACGTTGGGATTTATGATCGAGTTGACCCTGAGGATAGCATCAGAGATATGATCACAGACAATGATTTCTACAAGTAAGCCCCTTCCATACACATTCTTCATGATATTTCAAATGCTCCTTACAGCAGGCTGTCTACTGATGTTATTGCTCTCCTCTTCCCTTACAGATTTGTTCTTTTCAAGACTCATTATGACAAGTATTTGCACCTCTCCAAGAAGTATGAAGAGGCCAGGAACATCGCCTACTACCTGGAAGAAAAGTACCATGAAATTAAGGTAAGTGCCCTCTCCTTCGTCATTAATGGATATGTATGTACCCGACTCCTGGTGCGCTGCGCGGCTGTGAAGCGTACCGTCGATGCCCGGCCGGGCCGGACCGGGCCGGCCTCGAGCGCCCCTGCTGCGGCTCGGCTGGCGTGATGGGACCGGGCGGCAGCGGCACGCAACCTTGTTTCGCAATTAAAGAGGCTCGCATATACACTACCACTTCAAACGCTAGCGTACCTACGTCACATTCAATCTAAGTGTAAATCGTGCTTAGGGTATCATATGTCACACTCGTTAGAACGCGACCACCTTTTAGCTTTTGCCCTCTCTCATAGCAGGCTATATAGGCGTGACATGGCATTGCGAAGCCTCGTCGGCGTTGTAAATAAAGGTGACGCGAGCGACAGTCGTTGTAAGTGTGAATTGCATTTGAATAAGAATGATATCGGCCCGCTCGAAAGCGCGACCAGCGAGGGGAGGAAGTATGGCTGGAGTCTCTCTAGAGCAGTCCAAACGAGACGACACATCCCTCGCTCCGGCGCACGCTGGCTCAGCCCCTCAATCAATGAGGGGATGCCGATCGATGGACTGTACGCTTCACCCCCCTCCCCGCCTCATTGACAGGGGAGGATGAGGCAGGCTTGACATGCCAGGAAGTGCCAGGTTCTGTCCACGTCGTCGCCAAGG